GGGAGGACTGTGGGTCAAAGCCAGCTCAGATGAAGAGTTCACAAGTACCCATCTCCAAAATAACCAGAGCATGGGGCTGGCGGAGTGGTTCAAGTGGTAAGGTGTCTGCCTAGCAAGCATGAGGCCCTGAGTTCAAACCCCAGTACTGCTAAAAAAAAAAAAAAAAGATGATGATAATATGTACACATACACGACTCCAAAATAACCAGAGCAAAATGGAAATGCAGCTACAGTGGTAAAGTGCCAGCTTTGAAAACTCAAGACCCAACCCCACAAAACAAACAACAACAACAACAAAAAACCAACAAATCAATAGGCTGCTCACCCCATAAATGAATCTCTGGTTAAACTGCTGCATTGCTCCTTGAAGTTGACTACGTTGTAGCTGCCACTGTTCATAGTTTCGGACGGATTCCAATGTTGGCCTCTGCCATGTTGTTGTTCTTGTGAAATGGTCAACATAATAAATACGTCCCATATTGTCAACCCGCCGTTCCCAGCTAAATCAGAACAAAAACAAACTAACTCAACAAACTATGAAACAGACTACTTCGTTTCCCTTGAGAGACTACTTCAAATTTACCTCAAGTCTTTTGTAATTTTCAAAATGATCTGTAAGTGAACTTGAAAGAGATGTTTCTAAAAAATTTCATCTCTAAAAAATTCTAAAGATGCATTAATTAGGTCTTTAAAATATGTATACTTAGTAAGTTTAAATGTCATTAAGAAAAACATTCCTGTTTCTTCCCAATAATCTTTTTACTGTTGCAATCACAATATGGACACAAATTGTACATATAGATTTTCACAGTTATCAAAAAGCATTTCTGCACAAGAATAGAATCATCTTTTAACTTACTTATATTTAATCATTTAAACATTGATATAGTAACTTGATTTCTACCTAGTTGATTGTTTAAGATTGCTTCCAATAATCTGATATTATAAATAATAAAATAATAAATGCCTTTAATAAAGTAACCTTTTTTCTTCCTTTGAATTATTTCTTCAGGATAAATTTCCTAGGGAGAATTACTGAGGATATATATATACACATATATGTATATATACATATTTATATTTACTGAGAGCTTTCTATAAGAGTTGAAACTAATTTATACTATTACCAGCAATGTTATGGGGTAAAATTCCTCACCAATGCATGATATTATCTGCTAATTCAATAAGCAAACAGTGTCTTTTAGACATGTATTTCTTTAAGATTACTAGCAAGACAAAATATTTTTCCATGGTTGCTACAGATTGCCCCGAAATAAAAAATAATCTTTTTCTTTCAATTATTTTACATAACATAAATGTTAAATGCTTAATATTATGCATCAATATATTCTTAGGTGCTCACTTCGGCAACACATATACTAAAATTGTAATGATACAGAGAAGATTAGCATGGTCCCTGCGCAAGGATGACATGCAAATTCGTGAAGTGTTCCAAAAAAACAAAAAAAGTTCCACATTAAAAAAAAAAAAAAAAAAATATA